ATCAACTTCGCGAACACCAACCTAACAATTTAGAGCGTACCAGATTCAGACGCACCGACGTGACTATACTATTCCCACATTGCCCACTCATCTCAGCTTCCTGCTACAGATTTTCGGGCCTACCACCGCGAGCAGCCACAAAATGAACTCCGACCAAGCCACAGCAAGCTTCACTGAGACATTCCCCCACATCCAGCTCATAACTCCCTCCTCGTCCGACTATGCATCCCGCCGTGAGACCCGCAGCAAGGCGGGCCACGAGCACACCCCATTAGGCATTGCAGTCCCAAAAGAAGCGAAGCAAGTCGCAGACATAGTCCGTTGGGCGACAGCTACGGGCATCCCCTTTGCGGTTCGCTCTGGCGGCAATGACTTTTACGGTCGTAATATTGTCCAAGGCGGACTGATTGTGGATATGCGGGACATTGCCGGCGTTAGCGTCTCGGAGGACAGGAAAACAGCGACCATAGGTGGAGGCACCATAGCTCAAGAAGTTGTCACTCGGTTGGAAGAGAAGGGCCTCGTAGCGCCGTTCGGAAACACATGGGTAGTCGGATATATCGGCTGGGCGACACTTGGCGGTTATGGACCCCTGACCGAATCGCTGGGGATGGGTTTTGAGGGCATTGTCGGTGCTCAGGTTGTGAATGCCAAGGGGGATGTTGTGGAGGCTACAGGCGAAATGCTGGAGGGCATTAGGGGAATGGGCGGAAACTTGGGCATCATCACATCCCTAACGATCAAGGTATATCCGGCGCGGCAGGTAAGCTACTCCACTAGGACCCTACAATTGACGAGAGTCGCTAATCCCTAATGGAAAGCTTCTCACCGGTTTCTTGGTCCTCGACGCTACCCCGGAAAACATCAAGGCCGTCGATGCTGTTGAAGCCAAATTTGACATGCCCAGAGGTCTCACCCTCCACAACTTCTTCATGAGCATGCCAGCCCCCTCCCTGGTCGTTATTTTTACTTGGTCCGACCCAAACTTGGAAAGGGGACAGCAGGTTCTTGATTCCTTGGTCACTGCCCTTCCGCCTATCAAGATGAACACCGTGAAAGCGCAGATGCCCACTGAGTACCAGAAAGGCTTGCCTGCCTTCTGCTATCCCTGGGGCGGCCAGCGCTCGATATATATCCGCAAGATGACCCCAAAGATTCTGGAGATTCTGACAGAAGCGCTCAAGACGATGCCCGGAGAATGCAACATGGGGTGGTCATGCAAGATATCGCTCGACTCTCCGTCTATTCCCAAGAATTGCTTTGGTACCGAGTCGCACGTTTTCCTGAGCTTCTCGTATCTAGTCATGGAGGAAAAGAATTTGGCCGCGGCAAACGCGTGGAACAAATCGCTCTACGAAGAGCTTCGCTCGTGCGGGGACGATGCAATACTAGAAGGATCTTATCCTCCACTCACGCCGCCAGAAGATAGGACCGCAGCACAGCTGTTCGGCGAGAAGTGGGAGAGAGCGAAGGAGCTCAAGGCCATTTTTGACCCGCAGAACGTATTCAAGTTTGCGGTTCCCCAGATGGAGGTGTGAGGTGCTTCGTGCAGGCGGCAGGAGCACAGTGTCTACTGCTATCGTCGGTTGATACTGCTGGTTTGTAGATGTCTTTGGCCACTACGATCAGGTTATCAATCAAAAGTGTCATTCATAGTTTAGGTAGCTCTGGAGCTTGGGAAACAAAACTGGGGCTGGTGTGGCGCTTCTATGAGCTAGAATGGGACCGACGGAAGGATGGTTGAAGAAGTAAATATAGCTATGTAAGCTGGAGTTCGGTGAATCTTAGCCCCCCTTTGATAAGACACCTCTAACCAATCCGTCCACCAATAGTACTATATTATGCCCAGAGTCTCCTCTCATCCCACCCCTTTCATTCTCTCGGAGACTAGGTAGGCATAGACGTAATACTACACTTTGGTTCTCTTTAATTCTCGTTATCCCAACTTGCCCAAGCCTAAGTGCACCCCAGAAGTAGCCTTGAACAGAGTTCATACAGACATTCCAAGGCAGTCCTAACCCTAGCTACTATGGTTACCAAAGGATGAGGCGGAGTAGTTCGCCCAAAAGAGTTGGGAGGCACTATCCATCAAGGACCGTTATTGGGAGGTTGCTTGGGGAGGGGTGGCAATCTGCAGGTAAGTATAACCTCCAAGCTCTATCTCACGTTCCATCGTACAGGACGGCATATCTCGAGCTATATCTTGATGAAAGTGAAGATGTGACTTTGTTGCCTACAAAAGACCTCTTGGTTTAGGAGCCTGTTTTTTATCATTCATGCTATGGCCACTGACTATATTTGGTACTAGATAGTCGGCCTCCCTCTTTACGGAGAGGTATGCGGCGTCGTCGAAGGCCGGCAATCTCATCGTCCGGTCTGCCGTCGAGTTGGTCAACCAAGGTATTAAAGTCCATTACAGCAGTCTTTCCTCCGGCACGAATAAAAGATGTCCTACAGCTGTTAAACTCATCCTTGACGGTGACTCTCACGCTCAGGCGCTGTGCAAGGTCTCCAGACCGTGCCTCCAATGCAAAAAATGTAGTCGTCGGGATCTCTGACAGGAAACCTTGCAGGTATATCTGCTCTCCTCCCTCCAGGTTTAAGTATTTCTTGAGAATCCTAATATGCACGGCGCCTACCGTAACATATACAGACCCGGAGCTACCTCGTACGGCATGCTTGATGCATCCTTCCGAAAATGCTCCCAAGGTTCTCCGGGTTTTTGCATCTGAAGCGCTGATTCGGCTTTGCAAATTGGTTCTCAAGTAAAACGAGCGCAATTTTTCGTCATTCGATTCTTTGAGCCTTGTAAATTCGCGCGAGAGAGACTTGTAGTATTCTCTGTCTTCTAAGGTTTTCGCGTTACGTATGAGTTCGCTAAAGCGCTGTTTTTTTGTAAGCATCTTTAGCTCCAGGGGTGGCGCATAGCCCTGCCAGAGAGGGTTCGCAAGGTTCAGCCCACGACAGATATTCCGACCTAACTGGTCGGAACAGTACTTGCGGCGCTCTGAAATGGGGAGAGTCTGGAATATAAGACAAGCCCAGAGCTCCAACAGGTTCCGTACCGTCTGGGTGGTTTCTTTGGCGGTGGCAATAAGAATCCACGCCGACTGCGTATCCGGACGAGAATCCCAGACGTGGTAGTGCAAAGAGGGGTGCGTGAGACGGTAGGTAGCGCTTTTATGTTGTGAAATAATCCTATCATATGAGTTTTCAGCTTGGCCAACATATCCATAGAAGTCATTCTGGTCCATCTCTGCATGCCAGATCATGTGAAAGTAGACCACAGGGCTGTGGCAATGTATATCGCCGCCGATTCCGATGAGGCTGTCATTAACGGTTAGTGGGTGGTGGCTATAGACGAAGGATAGAATGCGTCGGGCCTCACTCTTCACGCGAAATACGATCCTGGCGCAAAACCGACAGAGCCTCTGAGCGGAGGCAACTTTTCAGATTTGAAACAACTTCATCTATATCCCCGATTGTTCCCGCGTAGCGGTCGCTGTTGTGCTGCCTGACATTGCATAACGCATTCTTGAGGATTCCGATCGCGTCTACTGGGCCAATATGCCCATCACATACGGAAAATTCCTCGTCCATCTTCTCCTTGGCCGCTAAGAAGCTTTCTTGGCTAACCTTCTTTCTTGTCCTCTTCCTAGGTCTCATGCCGGCGTCGGGGCATCGGGGGGGTTGGAAGGTATCAAAGGGCGGGGCAGCTTGGGAGTCGATATGGTTTAAATACGATAGATCTTCGTTAACGGCTGCGTGAAACGTCAGAATAAATATATGAAAAGGCGAAGAGATTCTGTCGGTACCCTGCTCGCGCATCCTCGGCTGGAAAACTTGCGGTTGTCTCCGTTCGGACAGTTTTCCTTTAGGCAAAGCGATTCGACGAGGACGAAAGTCTCGGTGCCAAACCGAATAGAATAACAATGTCAAGATATTGATTTTATGTCTTGTGGATATGCTCTCACCAAAATCATCTTTCCAGAGCATCACCATGTCTTCTCGAGCTTTTCGCTGCAGCGAGCTCTCGGAGTCTTGGTTCCGTGGGAAGAAATCAGCCGGGTAGGAATAGGAGTCTTGAAGATCATCTCTGATTAGATCTGTCAATATCTTGAACATCTCCGGGTTCCTCAGAAAGAAATTCTTTAACGCGAGGTTCTCTGCGTAGGCATGATAATCTCGAGGTTTAGACTCGTTTTTATTGATCGGCTGCTTGCGAATATTCATTGCGATACAATGATAGACTCCTCATATAGCGGTGATCTTTTCTTCGGTTTCTAAGAAAAGTCAAAACATTCGGGGAGTGATCAACTACATATATAGACTGACTCCAACGTTTCACCGTCTATCCAAGCATAGCAGGCAGGCAAACAACCAACCTTCGCATGCTTAAACCTTGGTCATTAACTTACCAAGACCCGGTATCAACCAAACTTAGTTTTACCTATGTAACAATAGCTCCAGCTTTCTCCAGCTTCAGGTCACAAATAAGGTTATAACGAAGAGCCGAATGGCGATATGAAAGATATTGTGGGTTTTGATACAGGCCAACTACATCTCCGCGAAACCTTCCGACAAACTAAGTTTCTGGGGGGCCTATTGTAAACCCCCCCCCCCCCCCCCCCCCCCCCCCCCCCCCTTTCGTCACCCTGTCAAGGCTAGCCAGCCGAAATCGGAAAGGCTCCGTTAAGGGAAGAGATAACGGAAGGCTGGGGATTGTGGTTGGCTAGCCTTGTCAGGGTGACGAAAGGGAGGGGGTGACGATGGCAAGAGGAAAAAGTAATTTCAAAAACAAGTTAGTAGAGCCATGGTCTAAGCTAGAGCATACGTGCCCTGACTCAGAAAGGAAAGCAGACTGCTTTGGAAGAAAGTTTTCACCGGACCTATGAGCAATCAAAATGACAAAGCGTATAAGGAAGACAGGAGAACAGAGGAAGAAAAAAAAAGATTAATAGTTCATCTACCACTCTTTGAAGGTGGTGCATCAGGAATTGAGCCCGATGCGGGGGTCGAACCCGCAGCTGCACACTCCGTTAGGTTGTGGACGGGTGTCTGGGGTGAAGAGGCTACTTGCCCTTGAGATTAAGAGTCTCACGCTCTACCGATTGAGCTAACCGGGCTGTGTTGATTGGATGTGAGAAAGGTAACATTTTTTTTTTTTT